CGAAGGAGAAGGGAAAGAGAGATTGGGGATCGAGTAAAGCCAGGCCACTTTTTACTTCGTTTTTACTTTATTTTGCTTTTAAATTTTTTCCGGTAATTATAATTTACCTTAAGAAAAATCAAATTTTCTGTAATGACATGGAAACTAATAATTTTTTTGGTTGACACGTCATCGGTCAACAGTTGCCCGTCAAAAACTAACGGAGCTGGTTAACGGACTATAATCTTCGGGGCATAAGTCACGCGGGATAAACATAGGGGTACAAAATGACCCAAACCCCACACTATGGGCCCTTTTCTGGTATTAGGCCTGGGAATAATACGACCCAGGGCCAGATGGAGGGGTGGATCGACGGAGGGGTGTGGCCGGCGATCACGAGTTATGGTGGAGGGGTTCGACTGTAGGGACTAGGGAGAGAGGGAGAGAAGTTGAAAGTGGGTAAAACCGTAAAAGTTGGTTAAGTGAAGAAGGCGACTTTTGATCTATTTTTCAATTATTATTAATAAAATTAGTTACAATGGTAGCTTTCCACTTGGCATGCCATGTTGATGAAAAATGGCCATGTCATCAACAACCGTTTGTCCAGTCATGAGAAAACAGTTAATTTTGTAGACGGAATGGCTATATTTTTGTATTTTTCAATATGTGGCTATTATTGTCACAATGCAAATAGTTATGACTATGGAAGTGTATTTTGCCATATAAATATGAAAACATAAACGAACACAACATACGATTTCCATAATTTCAATGAGATATGGACTAGTCCATAATAGAATATGAGATTTTCCGAGCGGCTTTTCCTTATTAGTTTCTTGTTAATGTATTTTTCTGAGTTATAATGATGTATAGGTCTATAATCCTAGCTATTCCCAAGCATACAAAAAGCACATGGGCTTATATACAAACACATTAAATTGAACTAGAAAAATTCACGGTAATGAATTTCAGTGACATTAAGTCGTGACTTTTCAGTTCAGACCGAGAAATAACAAATAAAACCTAGAAATAGGAAGTCACATGCTAGACCGTGACAAACATGACAATTCTCACAAGTTGGCCTCTATTAAAAGCCTCCCCAAATTGATGCAGGTCTCGAAGCATCAATTTGCTACACACAAACCAATGACGAGCACGAGAAATACACTCGGTAAACGAATTCGCCAGCTGGTCATCAAACATAATGCAAAGCAAAGTAATAACCTCGTCATGAACAATATCATGAACGTAGAGACCATGAATTTACATATGCTTGATTCGATCATGAGCGCGAGAGTGACGACAATCGGACTAACACTAGTGGTGTTCATATAATAAACCTGAGGAGCTCGACAATTGGACACCCAAAATTGTCAAGAGTCTTTGCATCCAAGCAAGCACAAATGCAACATAGGACCACAGTCGAGGACTTAAACAGTTAAACATCTTATCATGTTAATTATACCGTCAATGAATAACGACATCTTTCCGGTGCGGACCGTGAAATACAAACAAAACCTGGAAATAAGAAGTCACGGGTTGGACCATGACAACCGTGAGAATTCTCACGGGTTGGCCTCTAGTGGCCAAAATGGTGCCGCTATAAAAAGTACGGTACCCGTAACGCTGTTTTTAATTGGTCCACATGGACTCTAACGTGGCACTAGTTGAATGAGTTAAACCCCAGCCCAAACTCGGTCGATAATGGATTGGGCCAAACCGCTATTCGTCTATGTAGACGGAAAAGAGTCCATCCATTATGTTTCTTTCCGTTTGTATTTCCCCACTATTATTTTATTATTTATATAATGTTTAATGGATTGGTTTAATGGTTTTGCGGTAGAAACATGGGAAGACAAAAGACTGAAAGAGTCCGTCCATTTACTCCATTATGTTTCCCTTTCCGCTGGCCTATCAAATCACTTCCGGCGACTCCTCCGGCGGCGGTCCAATCTGAGGGTCTACCAAACGCCCATGTTATGTAGATGCGCCGTCGGGGCGGAATTCTACGTACTGGATATTTGCTTTTCTGGATTTTTAGATACGTTGCTCGACGCTCTCGAGCAGAGGATCTCCTTAATGGCGAGATCAACCCCAAAATAGCTATGAAACGACCAAACTGAACGAAAGAAATAATAAAGCAAACAAAACATAAATTGGATTCCAATCTTCTCATACTATTATTTATAGACAATGTCTCTATTTATAGAGTTACACAACTGAATCCCTTTCCTTCTCACCCTAGGCTTTAGCCTCTCTCCTTATTCTTTTCCTACTAGAATTCCCTTTCTTCCCTTACAAGAAACATTAATTAAATACTAACACATCTCCTAATCCAAGTAGAACAATTACTAATAATAATTACTAATATTCCCAAATAATTACTTAATACGACTAATAAGAAAAGATACGCAAGCCCAGTAATTAATGAAATGCTACGATGGCTCGATCTCGTAACAGCCCACTGAAATCAATTTTTCGTTTCCTCCTTTATTTATTTTGAAAAATAAAGGTAACGAATCCCGCCTCATCACCACCCATCTGTCTACATCAAGGGTTTTTGTCGAGCAACGCCGCCACCACAGTAGCAGACAAGGGAATTCGATAGAGGCTTCAGGTAGAGTCCGAATATGGGATCGATGACGGAGAAGTCCCCGAAGTTTTGTTTGAGAGCCCACCAGAGAAGAACATCAAGGAAACTGACGATAGGTTTTCCCCCTCCTCTTTTGTTTCTGAATTTCTGCCGAAAAACAAAGAAGTTTGACAGTAATTTTACTATTTTTCATCCAATTTTAAATTAATTATTAACAAAAATAACAAATAGAATACCCAAATGACGGGAACGCTTATTCATATATTTCGTCTGGTTGGGTATTGGCGGTTGGGTCCAGAGTCATGGGCTACGGGTTTAAAGTTGGGTTAAATGAATCCAACCATTGCCACATAATATCCACGTGTACCAATTATAAAATGCATTGGGTGCCGCACTTTTTTATAGCGACATTGTAGCATTGTCCGCCTCTGGTAACACCACACCAGGGAGCCCAATCCTCATTGTTGCAATACGGACTTTGGCCCACAACTTCAAGTCTGAACAAATCTTTCCACAGTTTGATTTAGGGGTGTCACTCGGTCGGTTTCGGTTTAACCGAAAACCGAATTCTCGGTTATCGGTTAAACATGACCACCCCCTATGGCTACCGACCACCGACCGTGAGGGAGTCACGGTTAGCCGGCCAACCGACGGTTGGTTTCGATTTAAAGCTCGGTTAGCTGGCCAACCGAAAAACATACCCTTCTCTCTAGGGATGTCAATCCAACCCGTAACCATGGGTACCCTACCCGACCGTAACCGGTCAACGAGGGTAATTACCCGCTTTGACGGGTTAAGGGGCGGGTACGGGTAATACCCGGTTTCAAAATAAAGGGTAGGGTACGGGTATGGTAATCGATAATACCCGCCCCGTTATACCCGCCCCGCTTACTAAAGGGTCAATTTCCCTTGAGAAATTTAGTTTAGCTTGAGAAATTTAATTTAGCTACCATTATTGATGATGATGTAGACGATTATTATGTTTGTGTGGATTGTAGAAGCAAGAACAATTATTATGTTTTTGTTATTTTTATTTGTGTGGATTGTTGAAACTAGAACAATTAGAAGTATTGAGAATTTTTAATGGACAATAGTACGTATGTGCATATATGTGTATAAGTTCATAGTTTAGGATTCGTACCCATGGTTACCCGAATACCCGTGGTTACCCGGTGGGTAGGGTATGGTTATATAATTTTCATACCCGGTGGTTATTTGGTCGGGTATTTTAGAAAGCTCTACCCGGCGGGTTAGGAGTTGGTATAGGGTAAACCCGCACTCGACCCTACCCATTGCCATCCCTACTTCTCTCCACTTTCTACGCCTGCCCACTTTCTCCTTCATTCTCTCCCCTCCCTTCTCCTCCATTTTAGATCTGTTGAGAGTTGAGACTCTCTTCCCTTCTCTTCATTTCAGATCTATTAAGCCTCTTCTCCCTCTTTCCTTCCTTCTCTTCATTTTAAATCTGAAGAAGCAGCACTTGCCAAGGGAATGGAGGCGCGGCTGAACCAATGGTGGTGACTGGTGGTGGTGGCGGACGAGCGATGGCTGAGATGAAGGCGCCGTGTGATGGAAGAGAAGAAGGCGCTCTTGCGTCTCGCCTGCTCTAGACGACGATGGTGGTGGCGGACGAGCGATGGCTGAGATGAAGGAAGCAGAGGAGGGGAGGATGGCCGACAATCTGGTGTCGGAAGCGGCGCGACGCGGGGTAATCCGAAGTGGTGAGGCGCGGTGCGGGGAGATCCGAAGATGCGCGGCGAGGCGCGGGGAGATCCGGAGAGGCGGCGCGGTGCGGGGAGAAAGGAAGAGGAGATTTTGTTTTGGGAATTAGGGTTTTCGGGGAAGGGGTTAGGTTTCGTTCGTGTTGGGGGAAGGGTTCTCGGAATGGAAGCGGGGTTGTTTTGGAGCAGCAGGCGCAGAGGTCGGTTACCTTCGGTTAGCTGCGTAACCGGTTTCCGGTTAGTCAGCTAACCGAAGCACCCCTCAGCCCTTCCGACAACCGACCGCTATAAGTAAAGGGCGGTTTTCGGTTAGCCGCTAATCGACGGTTATCGGTCAAACCAACCGGTTAGCCGCTAACCGACAACCGAAACGTCACCCCTAGTTTGATTCCTCTTATCCAGGCCGAGAAATGGAGTGCTGCCGGTTTGATACCGCCAACGCCCAGCCTCATCGTCAACTGATGCTTTCTTTGTCTGTTTGCCTCGTCACAAATCGAAATCCTCACTCCCTCACGATCCCGATCCAAAAATAATCCGTTTCTCTATTCGGCCGTCTCTTTCCCACTTTGGATTCCTCGCGTCTTCTTACTCCTCTTCTCTTGTACACTGATAACAACAGTTTGCCTCGTCTTGTTCCGTCGCCGTCGGTTTTTCTTTTCCCCTGAATCCACAGTTCCAGCCAGCTCAAAGCTCGGAACGTTTCCCAAATGGGTACTGCTGTAGCTCAGTACCCACATGGGATCACTTCGCATTCCTCTGGAGATCTCGCTCACAACAAGTTGGGTTCTTCTTCTCGATACTCCAATTTTCCGTGTCAATTGGATTTCGCTCGGCTCGGCTTGCTTCATCAAGGCTCTTCTGCAACTTCTTCCTCCAATCATCCCACGGTGTGTTTCCGCAAGCTCGGCAATTTCCTTTCCTCATTTCAATCGGATCTTTTTGTATGTTCTATTCTGCCCAGCTTAGATTGTGTTGTGTGTGATTGATGTAGTTGCCCTATCACATGGGAGGTAATGCTATTAAACTACACGGTTAGGTGGATCTGAATTTTATAAGTTTGCAGATGAAGCAAATCGCTCACTGAGCTGGCAAATGGAAAGGGATTAGTTATTGTTATAGCCAATGATGGTGTAAAGCTGAAGCTTAAACTTGTGTCCAATTAGAGATTTTGACTACGAACAGTTTTCAATGCTTCGTAGCCATTGGATCCTGTTGTGTATGTCCTATGGCGTTTTTCTTGATTGTTTGAAATATCATCATCTTAGGTAACAGTTTCCAGTATCGTTTGCTTGTTAGTAGGTAAGCTGATGATGTTTTTTGTTCGATGTAGGAATCCGGCAGTCGAATAAATGCTATACCAGATATAGATGACATATTCTGGGACCAAGTACCAACTCCCTTGCTTGATATGATTGAGAACCCTATTCACCTCAAGAATTTGTCCCTCAAGGTTAGTTAGCTTCGAGACATTTTGCACTATTGCTGTGTTCTCGATAAAGTGTGCGCTAAATTGTTAAGTGTTTTGTTCAGGAGTTGAAGGAACTAGGTCGTGAAATACGGTCAGAATTATCAAATATAATGACACAGAAGCCGAACTCTTTGAAGGCTAGCTTGGCTGTGGTAGAACTAACCATTGCCATACACCATGTTTTTCATGCTCCGGTGGACAAGATACTATGGGATGCAGGTGAACAAGTAAGATAGCAAAAAATTTCGGACACCTCCTTTTTGTTGCTGTCATAATCAATAGAGAGGGGAGAGGACCAGTTAACCGTAGCGCCGTTAAACTTCTTGTTAATCGTTTTACTGAGGTCGGACATGTGAGACTCTGACTGAGAACTGCAGAAAAGGGCAATTAATTATGAATTCTAGCGTATGGTTGAACACATAAATTACTAATGAATGTATCGTCTGTTCGGTTTTGGCAGACTTACGTACATAAAATTCTCACAGGAAGGAGGTCACTAATGCGTATTATGAGACAAAAGAATGGTCTTTCTGGCTTTACATCTCGGTTTGAGAGCGAATATGATTCCTTTGGAACGGGCCATGGTTGTAACAGTGTTTCTGCTGGTCTTGGTAGTACCCCTGTTCATGCCATTTTACTATTCTTTACTAATCGGATATGGCAGTATTCTGAATTCTTTGTTTTCATTCACACTCTCCTAACCGACTAAAAACTGTTTCTTTTGTCAGGAATGGCTATTGCACGTGATATCAAAGGGAAGCGTGATCGAGTTGTTACTGTCATTAGCAATGCGACAACTTTGGCTGGTCAAGTCTACGAGGCAATGAGTAATGCCGGTTACTTGGACTCAAATATGATTGTGATTTTAAATGATAGCCGTCGCTCTTTACATCCAAAGATTGAGCAAGGGCCAAGCACTTCAATCACTGCCTTATCTAGTACCTTAATCAAAATTCAGTCTAGTAAATCATTCCAGAACTTCAGAGAGCTTGCAAAGGTATTTTCTCTTAAATTTTAACATGCAAGTCTGAAGTTTTAGGAATGCTTGAGATGCTTTCAAAATGCATAGAGTCATTATGTAAAGTTGAACTCCAGGCTGAATGAATATCTCTTTGGTAAGTTTCTTGAGATCCAAATCCTGATTCTTTGACTCCTTCCATGTTCCTTTCTGAAGGGTATTACCAAAAGGATTGGCAAGGGTACACATGAATTGGCTGCCAAATTTGACGAATATGTCCGTGGTATGATTGGTCCTCAAGGATCGACTCTTTTTGAGGAGCTCGGGCTGTATTACATTGGCCCTGTTGATGGACACAATCTAGAAGACCTCATTTGTGTTTTGCAACAAGTGGCATCTTTGGACTCCATGGGCCCCATCTTGATACATGTAATCACAGAAGACAATCATCAAGATGCAGAATATAATGAAAAGACCGAGGCAGACAACCCACAGGAAGGTATGATCAGTAGTAGTTTTCTCTAAAGCTGGGACCGGATAATTCTACTTCTTTATATCTTTGGTTCCTAGAGTGCAATGATCTACTTTTGAATTTCTTTCTGCAGGTTATGATGACTCAGTATCTTCCTTATGTAGTGTGCATACTCGAACATACAGTGATTGTTTTGTCGGTTCTTTGGTAATGGAGGCAGAGAAGCAGAAGGACATTGTTGTGGTTCATGCAGGAATGGAAATGGAACCCTCCTTTCAACTGCTTCAGGAAACATTCGTCGACAGGTTTTTTGATGTTGGAATGGCTGAGCAACATGCTGTCACGTTTTCCGCCGGTTTATCCTGTGGGGGACTGAGGCCCTTTTGCATTATTCCTTCTACTTTTCTACAGAGAGCATATGATCAGGTATATCTTTCTCTCTGTCTATGTATCATGTCAGGGCGAAGAAAAAAAATCAGCTTAGTGAGATGCTCCGTATTGGGCTTTCCCCAGGTGGTTCATGATGTAGATCGGCAGAAGATTCCAGTGCGATTTGTCATCACAAGTGCAGGATTGGTGGGGAATTCCGGTCCCATGTACTGTGGGGCATTCGATGTGACATTAATGTCGTGCTTACCGAACATGATCGTCATGGCTCCATCTGACGAGGATGAGCTGGTGGATATGGTGGCTACTGCTGCCCAGATTGATGACCGACCGGTCTGCTTCCGCTATCCAAGAGGTGCCATAGTCAGGACAGACCATTTTATGCATGCTGGGATTCCCCTTGAGGTGATTAAATCTTTAATATCTATAAACTTAAGCTTTCAGGCTGTGTGGGCTGTGATTTTTTTGACACTGCTAGAGATGTGCTTATTGACATAGTGTACAGAGAACAGAAGCACCATTAATCCTGCATACTAATTTCCCACCCGGTAATTGCATACTAATTTTCTGATCTAGGCTTTCATCACCCTTTGAAACAGATTGGTAAAGGAAGAGTGCTTTTAGAAGGTAAAGAGGTGGCATTGCTAGGTTACGGGGCAATGGTTCAGAACTGCCTCAAAGCTCAAGCCCTTCTTTCGAGGCTTGGCATCCAAGTAACAGTCGCTGATGCAAGATTCTGCAAGCCTCTCGACACAGAACTTCTCACCCTCTTATGCCAGAACCATCAGTTCCTAATCACGGTCGAGGAAGGTTCTATTGGAGGGTTTGCATCCCATGTTGCGCAGTTCATGGCTCTCAACGGCCAGCTCGATGGAGCCATTAAGGTGAGGGTCAACAAACATCACAAAGTTTTTGGTAGGAAGTAAGAACCACAAGTAATCTAAAATATCTGTGATTCGAATCTATACAGTGGCGGCCTATTGTTTTACCGGACAACTACATAGAAAATGGGTTGCCTGAGGAACAGCTAGCTCGAGCTGGATTGAGCGGACACCATATAGCTGCAACTGTACTGAGACTGCTCGGAAGAGTGCGCGAAGCTCTCCTTTTGATGTGCTAGAAAAAGAAAAGAATACAAGATTCTGTAAATTGTAACATGAGAAATGAGTGTACAGAAAAAAGAGAAAGGTTGCTCTTACTGCCGTGCATTGCAAGGAGGATTGAAAATCATGCAGATAGCAGACTAGCAACGAGCATTATGAACCGTCGTTGCTGATTGTGGCGGCTGAAGAAGGTTCGTTGGTGGCATCACCATTAGTGCGTAATCGTACAGCAGCGTAAGCTGCTGCTCCAAGTAAAGCACCAGCGATCGGTGCAATGAGGTAGATCCACAGTCCTTTGTAGTTGCCAGTAGCTACAGCAGGGCCTAAAGCTCTTGCTGGATTCATACATCCTCCTGTTGTTCCCCTGCTCCCCTTAGATCAAGCCACAAAAATGATCGATTTCATTATCCGTCATTTGCTTCCTGGAAATCAGTTGTTAAGAAACTTACCCAGCAATGAGTACATTGAGCATAATGGTAGCGCCAATTGTGGCCGCTCCCAGTTCCTATGTGCATAATATCCAGTGAGTTAGCAGGGACTCCGGCCATGACAGTACTCGAATGCAACACATTGAGGTTACAAACGCTACTATATATGCCAGCACTAGGCTTTCATATCTGTCTGCAATGGCGTTACAAAGTTTCTTTCTGGTGAGTACTGAAGAAGTACTTACAGTTCTGGTGTGAGTGACGGCGGAGACCACAAACATCAGAATGAAGGTTATGAGAAACTCCATGGCGAAGGCTTGTAGGTTTCCTCCGGAGGGAACGTTGGTTCCGGCTCCTGATCTCACGGGGCCAAATAACACCGCCAGCAACATCGCCGCCGATATCGATGCCGCAACATGTGTGGCGATATACAACGGCACCTTTAATTTGTAGAGATATTTATGTACGAATCCAAATTAATTGGTCACTAAAGCTAAAATGGTCACTAAATTATGCGACCAATACTCCAAGATCGTCACTATATGGTGGTCTCGTTGTCAAAGAACTAGTTGGTTCCAAGAATTCGAGTTGTTGGCAGCGGTTCAATTATTGATTATATATCACTTAGTGATTATAGTTTGAAGTTTGTACAGTTGTGTTTTTATAAATGAGGTCATTAATTAGGATTCAAACATAATACCTCTCTTGATGGTACTTGACATGATATCAGTGTCTTATATGATTGGGAGGTCTTCTGTTCAAATCCCGACCGACCCTCATTTATTAAGCACATGGTATTTGAAGTTGTACAAAGTTCAAGCCCATATGAATCGTCTTTGTTTTGAGGAGCCTTGTTAGTATGTGGCATAAATATCCACTATTTGATGAATTCATCCTTAATAACTCTGAGTTATTGGTATCAACTTAGACGTACACATGTGTAGAGTTACGTACTTGTTTCCAGGCGAAGCGTCTGGAGGCGGCCAATGCGATGGTGATGGCCGGATTGAGATGTGCACCGGAGATGTGACTCGTCGACTGGACGACGATCGCCGCCGCCAGGCCCGCCGAAGCCGCCGCCTGCAGCGTGGCCGAACCACCTTTGCTGTTCTGGTTGACGATGGCCGTCCCGATGCCGGCGATCATCAGGATTAGAGTTCCTATCAACTCTGCACCCACCTGCATGTATGTGCATGATTGTGACATATATAATTAAATTAAGCAATCACAAGTACGTAGTATGTTTACGTACAGTTTAAGTAACCATAATAAATAAATTAAACCTTCTTCATCAGTGAAGCCAAGTCGCTCTGTGGTGAGCAGGTAGCTGATGAAGGCGGCGGCGAGCTGGTTCCTTGGCCGGAAGCACGAGCTGTGATATCCATGCCGTGATAATCAAGCTACCAGCCCAATTACCATCCTGATATCCATTAATTACTTGAATATATATTTGCCGATCGGAGTGAAAAAAATTATATGCATGACCGAAAACTTGGTACCTACCAGCCTAACCATCCTAGCTAAACACAAAGAGTGTGAAATAGTTGTTGATTATCGATTACAAAGGTTTCATATTCTTAATTATTTCCACCTAACTTTAAGTAGCTAGGTAACTCTAGCATAATTGACCATAAAATATAGTTAGTAAATACTCCATTTGATACGCTTGCATATGTTGATCAGAACGAACATATTTGTTTTTGGGGGCCAAATTATTTTGTAAGGAGTTTTATTAGTGCAAAGAAAATATTTATTCAGCCATACACAATGTTTTTAATGTTATCATCTAGATTTTGTATGTATCTTGTTCCAGGTAGTTAATTACAATATCAAGTTATCAACAAGAAATTCTATCATGCATGCATCTTTTTTCCTAGCTTATTTTTCACTAAACACACATTTCGAGATTAAAAACCAAAAACAAAACATATCAGCTATGTAACCTTGTTGTGAAAGAAAACCCTTATTCGTCAATGTTTTTCAAACGCCGAATTATTCACAAAAATGATAAATTTGCAGACTCTTTAATTATTAGTTCGTATGTTAAAAATATCAATTGAAAAGAAACAATATTTGGGAATTGGGAATGGAATTTACTAGCATTAAGAAGAAGAAAAAAAAAACTAATTGGGGATGGAATTTGGGAACCAGGGATGGAAATAAACTTTACCCTATTTTTTTTAGTTTCCATCAATTAATTTATTAAACTTTAATTTGAACTTAAAGCACAAAACCATTACTCTAATTATTCTTTAAAACTTAACCACCTACTGAAGCCACTGAACAGCATGAATATAAAAAACAAAACTTACCGTCAGAAATGGCTTTAGAATTTTTAAATTTAAAGACCTGAAAGTCTGAAACCAATCCATCCGCCATGAAATCAAACAAATTCAAACTGGGCGTCGTTTCTCTCCTAGAGAATTGTGTAGCTGCCTTTCAAGACGATGAAAATTGTGTAAAAGATAAGTTATGATCTCATCCAACCCCCTTACTCAGACAGAAGAAACTGTAATACGACAAAAACGATTGTAGACCGGAAAAAGTGACATCGGCGCTTCCACCACAAAATATTTGACATGCCAGGCTTATGGGATTGGAGGGTGGGTTTTGCTGGACCAAACAGGCATGGTAATGGTAGAGGTTCTGCCCTTTTGAACGAAGGTGATCATATCAGAAAAATTGTTTGTCGAGTTGTTGGTTTTTCGTGATGCGAGGTGTTGGTGTTTATCTAGGGGTCTATGGCCAATGATTTTTGCAGGAGTTGTTCAGGTAGTGCTCATGAAGGGGAGGAGACTTGTGCATTGCGTGATTATTTTATTTGAGCGATTTTAAGCTCGTTTTGTTGGGCGCGTGTGTATAACAGGGTTGTTTATTTGATGGTAAAAAAAAATCCTAATTTCGTTGTTCCCTTCATTTGTAGAGCTTCGATTTTATTTCTAAGTTGTTTTCAGCTGTGTAACTACTCTATATATGGTTTGTTTCTCGTTAATACGAGCGGTTTTTTGATAAAAAAAGGGAGTGTGCATTCGATTTTTTCCCTTTATTTGAACCGTCACCGAACTGAGTAGAGGTTTTGACGATTTTGATTTTTCGATCTCAAATTATTTTGAAATGGTTTTTATGACTATTGTAAGTGGTCCGGTTTGTTTTTTGGCTGGTTCATACCGAAACCAAAATCAATAAGGGCTTATTGGTTTTGGGAGACTTGATGATGTTTCAGCCCGAACCAAACCAAACTGACAACCATATGAGTCGTAGTACAATATTGTAGGACTTTCGCACTTGTAACATGTATAGAAGATCATAACACGATATTTTTTGTCATTCAATTCTCACATCTTATGATTTCGAGATCTTAAAATGGGAAAATGTGCTCGAATGGAAATAACAATAAATTGTGCATACACTCAGCCGCCGGGAAAGACCCCCCCACCATTCAACGAACGGTCCAATAATGGATAACCAGCCGCAAGCTGATATCCGCCGATTCTCACGTCATCCCATGCACATCTATATATATATATATATATATATATATATATATACCACTAGCCAGTGGTGACACTCACAAGTACTAAACCTTACAGCATGAGGAAAAATATAGAAAATCAATACTATTTCTGGCCCTTCCTCCTCACCTTCTTGGCCATCGTGCTCGCAACATGGGTTCGCCGGAGGAACAATAGGTTGCCGCCGGGTCCATGGAAGCTGCCGATAATAGGAAACCTCCACCAGCTGGCAGGCACCAACACCCACCTCCCGCTGCACCAACGGCTGTGGGAGATGTCCAAGAAATACGGCGTCGTGATGGAGCTCCAGCTAGGCGAAATCCGCAACATCTTCATCTCCTCGGCGGAGGCCGCCGAGCAGGTGATGAAGAAGCACGACGTCATTTTCTCCTCCAGGTCCACCACCCTGGGCACCGACATCCTCTTCTACGGCGGGCAGGACATGTTCTTCTCCCCCTACGGTGACTACTGGCGCCAGCTCCGCAAGCTCTGCACCATGGAGCTGCTCACCTTCAAGCGCGTCCTCTCCTTCTGCTCCATTAGGTAAAGCCCGAACCTTAAACCACATAGATTTTGAATACACTTATGTCATTTTATAACCAGGACTTTCAGAACTTGACTTTAACGATAAGTATAAATGCCTCATTTATATATATCGATGAGGATATTGACAAATGACTAACGCTGGTAGTAACAGATTTAAACAAATGCATCTTTGTAACCATAGTAACCATAATCGATCGATCATACACCACAAATTTATCATATAATATAAGCTGGGATAAACTAAGATCTACGGTAGAGGTCCCATAATATTTGACGGACATGTGCCGGAGGACCTTCTGCCACACCACATTTGCCGTAGCAAGTGTGATACTATTGTACTACTAATCGTACTCAACTTGTCTCTCAAATACTTACTCATACTCTAATATCAGGGCTGAAGAAGTGTCTAATGTGGTTGCCACTATTTCTCGCTCTGTCGCTAGCGGCGAAGCTGTGGATTTGAAGCAATTGCTGCTTGTGCTGACCAATACCATGACTTCTAGGGCAGCTCTTGGTAAGGCTCCCAAGGTGATGACTGAGAGGTTCGTGGAGGTTGCAGAGGAAATGGTGGGGTCTCTTGGAGGTTTCAGGATATCAGATCTATTTCCTTCCTGGAAATTTCTTGCCGTTGTTAGTGGGTTTCGATCAAAGCTCATAAAACTCCGTGGGGAGGCCGATCTGGTACTGGACGAGATAATCAACCAGCACATTACAAATACCTTTTCTGAAGATGAAACTGAGGACCTTGTAGATGTTCTTCTCAAGCTCAAGAAAAGTAACGATCTCGGTGTTTCGTTAACCATGGAAGCACTCAAAGGTGTCCTACTGGTAAGAACTTATATACATACATACATACACACGACACGAGTAAAACCCATGGGCTCCATCTGTTTACTTTTTGGGCTCCAACATTGTGCAAAACATGTTTCTTGGTGGGACTGACACAACAACAACAGAGATAGAGTGGACCATGTCGGAAATAATGAAAAATCCAGGTGTCATGCAAAGAGTGCAAAAAGAAGCAAGAGGCGTTTTTCAGGAAAATGTCAATGAAGAAAAACTCCACGAGTTGGAGTACCTAAATGCAGTTATCAAAGAAACTTTTCGATTGCACCCTCCTGCTCCGATACTTATCCCGAAAGAAACTCCAGAGAAGGTGGAGATTAATGGGTTCGAGATCCCCATAAAAAGCCGAGTCATGGTCAATGTTTGGGCTATAGGAAGAGATCCTACCTATTGGGTCGAGCCCGAAAAGTTTGATCCAGAAAGATTTCTAAACTCTACGATCGATTACAAAGGAGCAAATTTCGAGTATATACCTTTTGGAGCAGGAAGGAGAATGTGCCCTGGCATGAACTTTGGAATGGTTGTTGTTCAATTCGTGCTAGCAAGTATGCTTTTCCATTTTGATTGGAAACTGACAGATGGAATGAAACTCAAAGATTTTGACATGACAGAGGTCTATGATACTACGCTCAGGAAGAAGGAAAAGTTGCGTCTGGTTCCTATGGCACCTAGGAGGCCATGATGAAGACTTGAATAATGACGAGATACATTATATCATTTAGAAATAAAAATAAAACAGGTACACAAATGTATGCATGGTTATCATCTCGTTTGCTATTCCTCTTTTTTGCTATGTTAGACTTGTTCACTTCCTTCTCCTTTCTCAATGTAACTTGTGAGTGAAAATAATAGTTTCGTCGAAATTTACCATCTTAAATGTAACTTGTACTAGTTGAATAGTAGCCTTGCTAGAATATTATCATAGAGTAAACTCCAACAATTTATTATGTCTAGAATCTCTCAGAGGATTCATTTGATAATGAATAAAGATTAGAACGCTCTTAGCAATCTAAATTCTACAAAGAAAAAGGAAATTTTTACTTACCTCTACTATTCCTTACTCCCTTGGCACCAAACATGTGGAGGCAGTGGCTCGTTTCTTTTCACCTCGGATATTAATTATTAAATATGTTTAAAATTAATTGATTGTCGTTATTAGTGGTAGATTACGTACATCTGAATTAATTGAGGGGTTTTGACCACGTCCTATCAAATTTTTCATAACTTTATGGGGAGCGTCGGATTTTTAAATTTACGTTAATTGATGAGTTCAAGATGTGTTTATTATTGTGAAAAATAAGTAGGGGTGGGCGCGAGGTGGTTAATCTGCGGATTGATATCGATCTACCCGCAAATAATCCGACTCACAAGCAGTGGGTGATTGATGCGGGTGGATTGCGGATTGATAAATCTCCCATCCACACTTATGTGGGTGGGTGGATTGCGGGTCACCCGAATGACCCGCATCCTATTTTCACATAATAATGCTATTTCTTATAGTATCGAATATTCATCATATTTCAGAATCGCACTACAATCTGACCATATACTTCTAAAGGTGGAGAGTAAAATTAGTATTAACAACTATATTGTGTTGTGTAATATCCATTAGATATTGGATATTAGATATTGAAATGCAAATTATTGTTAATATCCATTAAATATTGAGATGAAAACTATAAATTATTAATTTTATCAAAATCACAAATGCGTAAGTTTTCTCTATACAATTGGTTGATAGAGTAATAAATTTTTTGATGCAAATACTACATGTTTCACTTGAGACAAAGTGAGAATTGTTTAAATTGATACAATATTACTAATTAACTATGAACTTATTATAAATGTTAGTCAACTTTCTTAATGATTAGTTGGAGAATTGATGTGATACCTCGACTTCGATTTAAGGTCTAAATGCAAGTACTGACTGAGCTGGACCATTAAGTGGAATCGAAAATTTGTTCTATCACCCGCGCGAGGGAATTAAAGAGGACTAGTAGCCAGTCAAAGCTACTCGATGCTAACGAGTTTGGTGAGAATACCCTTATGGTCAAGATGGAATAGAATAAGTGAGGTAAGCTATACGGGTCAAGCAACGGACATCGTCGAAGTTTAGATAACGAGTAAATTTTTGAGTCAAGGAAGCAGGAGAATGAGAAGCATGAAAGGACGAGTCCGAGCGAATTTCGGGGACGAAATTTTTATAAGGGTGGAGGAAATGTTACACCCCGCTCTTTCTAAGGGTCAAAATGACTATTTTACCCCAGGATAAATTTATCAAGTTTCACCGTAATATCAAGGAGGATTAAAAATGTGAGCTCTCGGTTCAAACGGTGTCGAATTTCGATGTAAAATGAAGAAGTTATCACCGTATGAGGATCGAGAGGGTTTTACTTTGTTAATTGGGTCGGTTATTGGAGTGGGTCTGGTTTTGGGTTGAGTTGTGGTTTGATTTTCGAAAAAGGTCGGGACGTTTCATTTTGGTATCAGAGCCGGCACTCCTCTGTTTCTTGGTCTCCAAGGAATACTGGAGTGACGATCTGAGTTTTTCAAGGTTTATGTTTTTAAAGGAAAGGAAAAAGGGTGTCAGGTTAAAGGTTTGGCCAAACGAGTCAGGGTTTATTTTAAGGATTTTTTTTTGCATCTCCAGTATACTCTAATCATGATTAGGAGATAACTCTATTAGCCCGCGTAACTATGGTACGTCTCGGGAAGGAGAAAGAGTAGCTTTCCTAGAGGATCGTTTAGTGAAACCCCTTCATAAGTAAGACGAGGAGGGTCAAGGAGTTATGTCGAATGGCGGCCATCAGCGAGAGGAAAGGATGCAAAGATGATTCGCTAAGATCAAGATGATCGAGCTTGGTGTGTGACACCAGGGAGCAGTGGAAAGTTAGACTTTGAGTAATGATGGAAGCATATAAGGAGGAATTAGAATATGTCTTAAGGAGTCCGAAAAGTCTTCAAGGAGCCGGCGACAAGTGGAGGTGCCATTCAACGAGATAGACGGTGTAAAGAATGCGATTTGGCGAAGTCAGGATCGACAAATTTCGAGGTCGAAATTTTTCTTAAGGGGGGAGGAAATGTGATACCTCGACTTTGATTTAAGGTCTAAATGCAAGTACTGACTGAGCTGGACCATTAAGTGGAATCGAAAATTTGTTCTATCACCCGCGCGAGGGAATTAAAGAGGACTAGTAGCCAGTCAAAGCTACTCGATGCTAACGAGTTTGGTGAGAATACCCTTATGGTCAAGATGGAATAGAATAAGTGAGGTAAGCTATACGGGTCAAGCAACGGACATCGTCGAAGTTTAGATAACGAGTAAATTTTTGAGTCAAGGAAGCAGGAGAATGAGAAGCATGAAAGGACGAGTCCGAGCGAATTTCGGGGACGAAATTTTTATAAGGGTGGAGGAAATGTTACACCCCGCTCTTTCTAAGGGTCAAAATGACTATTTTACCCCTGGATAAATTTATCAAGTTTCACTGTAATATCAAGGAGGATTAAAAATGTGAGCTCTCGGTTCAAACGGTGTCGAATTTCGATGTAAAATGAAGAAGTTATCACCGTATGAGGATCGAGAGGGTTTTACTTTGTTAATTGGGTCGGTTATTGGAGTGGGTCTGGTTTTGGGTTGAGTTGTGGTTTGATTTTCGAAAAAGGTCGGGACGTTTCAATTGATTTTGCGTGTTAACCCACGACCCAACCGCACTCATCCGCCACCCACCCAACCCGACCCGTAGAAGAATGTGGTTGGATTGCTGATCACAATTATTCCAACCGATCTCTAGTAAGTGGGTGGGTCAATTTGAAACGAAAACCCACCCAAAAAGTGATGGTGAATGTAGTTTTATAAATAAAAATAAAATCAAAACTTGAAGGTAATTAGTAAAAATGTTGACGACAAATAGCTCTTCACTTATCTAAAGTTTCTAAATGAGACTCTGAATCCAATAACGCAATCAAAGTTGAGTTTTATTTGTGAGAACGTTTAACATTTAGTTAATTTCCAAGAACTTGAATTATTAGCGTTGGTTCATTCGTAGAAGTGAAAAATAAAAAAATGAGATGAACTCTCTCCTCTCTCTTCGTCTTCTGCAAACTCGCTGGACATCACTTGCTCTCGGTGCTGATTACGGTGGTTGCCATCTACCTGGACAACCAGAGCTGGTCCCGTGGCTGCCGATCCATGGTCGACCCTTTCGGCAGAGAAACGAGATCGAAGGAGACTAGTGTTTGGTCACACCAAGCTATCAAAGGTGAAATCCGAAGACAAGGTTCTTTCGGAAAAAGGGTTTATTTTCAAGCCCTGAACCGATCTGCATGTCGGATCGGAAAATGATAGACCATCGATTGCACATGTTTTTACCCCTATTCTTGAGCCGTTTGAGATGTTGATTCTCGTGTTTTAAGCCGATTTCACGCTAAGTTGTGCGTTTATGTCATATTTCAGGGCTTGATGTTGGAATCGAGGCAAAGAAACGAGTTTCGGGTCGAAACGAGCACGTTTGGGTCGAAGTGTGTTGGAGGAGCAAAATACCCGGCCATGAGCAGAAATACCCGGCCGGGTATTATTTGGAGCAGATCGGGGAAAAGGCGTTATGGACGTTGAGAAGCAAAAGGGGGCCCGGTCGTGAGGCTTAAATCCCCGGTCGGGGATTCTTTGCCTTGACCGGGGATTTTCCCCTGTTCCCGACGGTGCGTTTTGAATATACCCGGTCGCCACCCAATATACCCGACCGGGTATTCAGACCAAGGATCGCGACAGACAGCTTCTTAAGGGAAAAGAAGGGCAAAAGTGAAGGGGTCCGAGTTTTAGAGAGAAAAAGCGCTACCTAGAGAGAGAAAGTGACGAACCTGATTCTGCAAGTGTCTTTGATCGATCTCCATCACCATTGGAGCCCGGCTTGAGCTTGGAGAAGAGCTAATTGAGTGCTAAAAGCAGATTATCATCCTTCACAGTATGGTTTCCGCATCTGAGCTAGATTTCCCATCTCTCTTATGGAGTAACTTTCTTATTCACCTGGGTATGAAGAACCCTATATTTGTATGTTAGGTCTGATTGTATGAACCCAAGTACAGATTCTATGATTTGATTATATTCAATTGAGGTTTGAATTGTTGAATGGCATGAATCCTGATCAAATTCCTGTTATTTCTGCTTTGACCTAGAATGAGAATATATGCCTAGGTTAATAGAGCATCCTTGATTGAAGGTAGTGAATTGACGACTTTAGTCGAGGAGTCACTTCACTATTCTGTATCGGATTTACTTCGGTAGTGGAGGTTTGGTTCGTTAGGGCCTCAATCTGTTTACTCCGGTGGAGGTTAGTCGCCCGCTGGGGACTCAGATTGAGAGGGTCTGGAGACCTTTAGTCGAGACTGCAGACTGTTTAAGAACCTCCCGCAGTATAACTATCATTGAAATTGAACTTGGTAAATTACAATTCGGCTTAACTGTAGTCTAGGGGGAACCATATCCGGGTGACCTCTCTCGACTTTGAAACAACCTTTTTACCTGCTTTGCTTGTTTGCTTGTTTGGACCTTCACTAAAGTTTCACCGCTAAATAATAAGAACTCACGGAGTAGTCATCAAACTTAGGACCCGGGTTGACATTAAAACCCAAACCTGCTATTCTACGCTTTAGGAGGTGGTTACACTTGGCCATTTTCTAGAGTGA